AGGGGCAAAGGGGCGGGGGAAGTGGGAGGGGTAGGGGAAAGGAAAGAAGGGAATGGAATTAATGAGAAAATGAAAAAAAGGAAACAAAGTCTTTGTAAATAGGGAGGGATGGAGGGGTTGAAGGGAGGGTAGGGGAATGGGGAATAAATAAGAACCAAGAGAGTATGTAAAGGTGCAAATTTCCAATGATGAATGTCATTATATTGTACACCTAAAATGTACTGATAAAAGGATATACCAAAAAATAAAAAAATAAAATAAAATAACTTCAACAGAAAAAAAAAAATCATGGCCTGTGTGAGTGCAAGGGCACACCTGCAGGGGGCACCTGAAGTTCCAGCTACTGGGGGTAGGATGCAGGGCTGAGGCAGGAGGATCCCAAGTTCACAGAACAGGCAATACAGTGAGATCCTGTCTCAAAAAGTAAAAAGAAACGTGATTTTATTACATTTCCTCCCTAGGAAGCGCATCAAGTTGACATAGACAGCTAAGGTAGAAATACTGCAGGAAGTCAACAGGGCTGGGCTCTTGAAGTCAATGCAGAGAATGAAAACACATCAAAGCTATGGCTGGAGCCACACCTGAAGGTGATTAAATCACAATTAAATTAAAGTCACAATGGCCAGATTTGCATACTTTCCTAAGGGATGAACAGAAGCTTCAGAGTATTGGTACCACCCTTTTGGGTTTTCCCATTATCTCTTTGTAGGTGGGCTGTCCTCCTCCACCCACTTAAAACCAAGACCACTAAGACCAAGAAGATTTAAAACTAAGACCACAGATTATCAATGAAGGTTAATGATGTCATCCATATACCCTTGTTATTATTGGGTTAATATTACCTAAGCTACTATACTTGTAATCCTATTGGGTGATTACAGTTTTTACCCACATTATACCCACCCCTCCTGACTTTGCTCTATAAAACTTCCTTTGAGAAGTAGGTTTATTGTCAACTGTAGGAGCCCACTGCAACTGTCATTTAGCACAGGCACACGATGAAGTTTGTTATAATAACGAACCCACATGGACAAACACACAACTATGCAAGGCACCCAAAATGTTTTGCTTTACTGTGTCTAAAGTTTGGTTGGTTCCTTCTTTCTGGTAATCTCTGCTCCACACCTATTCTTTTGTTTGGGAACCTCTCCTGGCCCGGCCTCCCTTCAGCCCACCCACCTGACAGCAACTCATTCGGGACTCTTCCTGTCTCCCAGGAGCTATTCTTACCCCCCCCATTCCTATTCCACAATAAATTTTCCTTTTGGGGGAGGGGGTACTGGGCATGGAACTCAGGACCTTGCGCTTGCAAGGCAGGTGTGGTGCCACTGAGCTAAATCCTTGGCCCAATTTTCCTCCTCTTAACCTCCTTGTTCCTTAGAATTCATTCTTCAACTTCCGGGAACAGGAACTGGGAATATCTGACATCTAGCAGGTTGGGAGTTGCATTTATCCCCCCCATATCAAAGTCACTAAGGAACATTCAGAGGCGCTTTGCCCTCTGTTCTTCGGAGGGCAGTTCTGAGCACCTTGAGAGACTATCTGCCAGCTCCAGATTCCATCCCCAGTACCAGTACCACAGAGAACCAAACCAAAGCCTGCCTCAGTCTCCTGAAACTTGGTACCCAAAGGAACTTTGTTGTTTGGACCCATTCAACTTCCAAAAAGAATCATTTGAAAATGATTGTCTGTTCTTTGGGGCCATTCATTGCCCCTAATAAGCACTTTCCTCCCCTCTAAAACTGCCTACATTCTCACTTCCCTCTCCCACTGAAGAGGCTGCTCAGCTTCAACCCTCTGGCCTTTATTTCCTTGCACTTGTGAGGCAGGCATGGGGCCACTGAATCCCTGGCCCTATTTATT